ATATATATATATATATATATATATATATATATATATATATATATATATATATATATATATATATATATATATATATATATATATATATATATATATGTGATTCGTAATATATATATATATATATGTATATATATATATATATATATATATATATATATATATATATATATATATACTATATATATATATATATATATAATATATATATATATATATATATATATATATATATATATATATATATATATATATATATATATGTATATATATATATATATATGCATATATATGCATATATATGCATATATATATATATATATATATATATATATATATATATATATATATATATATATATATATGAATAAATAAATATATATATATATATATATGAATAAATATATATATATATATATATATATATATATATATATATATATATATATATATATATATATAAATGAATATATATATATATATAAATATATATATATATATATATATATATATATATATATATATATATATATATATATATATATATATATATATGATTCGTAAACACACACATATATATATATGTATATATATATATATATATATATATATATATATATATATATATATATATATATATATATATATATATATGCATATATATATATATATATATATATATATATATATATATATATATATATATATATATATATACACACACACATTTAATATATACTTATTCGTTTCTCAAGATATACATCATGTACTGATAATGCCACATGACAGCGCTGAGCACTGCAATGAATAACAACGACGATAGGAACCCTGTCTACAAGGAACGCGACAAGTATTAATGGAGACACTAATACATACCATTGCTGTTCTTGCTAATGCACGGCGTAGCGTCTCTGCATAATGAGACACAGTCATAAAAAAAGAATAATGACAGGGAAGAACACCCGTCGATAGCCAATACTAACCCTGCATATCAGTTTTATTTTATTTATTCATCTATTCATATTCTCACCTTTTCTCTTCTCTCTTATCTCTTTCAACATTTTACTAACTTAAATTATTTTTTTTTCTTTTTCTCGTTCTACATTTGTTTCACGATGGGGCGCGTAACGTATTTTTTTTTAGGTTCGTAGTCTGTCGCAATGGCGATGTTACAAGGCTCTAGATTATAATTAGGCGCGTTCGTGCATGCATAATCCGGTCTGCATTTCGAACTCTTATGCGAACGCCGAGGGGAGGGTTTCGGCGCCGGGTTAGCTTTGGTTTTAAGGGAAATTGACTTTTGAGCGGATTCAAGTGGCTTCTGGAATGAGAGGTTTTCTATGATACCTTACAGGTAAATGAACTCTTAGTATCTTGGTACGTTTGCGTTGGGAAATATCTATTGTGAACAAATACACAAGCACACACACACATATATACACACACAAACACACACACACAAACAAACACACACACACTACAAACACACACGTACAAAAACACAAACAACCAACCACACACACAATTGGATACATATACACACGTACATACATACATACATATACACACATATATAACTATTCACACATACATCACTCCAACTCCCTAAGGAGCGAGCCGCCTCTGATCGCGACGCCGTCCTCCGAGCCTAGAAAGCGTCTCCCTAAATGGAGATGAGATTTTTGCGAACGTCAATGATAAGCAATATTCTCCGGACGAACAACTGCTCGTGTCATTGTTGTCCTCGTTACGTCGTGACTGCGAAGGGACAGCTTTGTCACTCTTTTCTGAGCGTCTTTTGTCGCCCGAAGGAGGCC